ATTGAAGACATCGACTTTGATGTGGAGAATAGAGAACTCACGTGGCCTGATCGTATAAACACACACTTAAAGATAATTCTCACTTTTCACATTTCTTAAGCTTAAACATGTGTCCCACCCCTAAATTTTTATAAATCCTTGCACAACATTTCACGCATCACAAAAGAAAGAGTGAATCAAGCTGAATGATTGCAGATGGAGAATAAAAGACGACACAAGATTTTCCAGACCCCATCTGGTTGCCTTTCTGAGCGTCTCTTAAAGTGTCTTTTAAAAAGGTGATTTGTCTGTGTGTCAGCAACGATGTGACCATGTCAGCATGTTGGCGGATCATCTGCTGGCTGCTGCTGTCACATGTGAACGGTCCCATGAAAGGGTCTGTGTATACACCTGTGGCGCCCGTCAACCCCATCCTAAACAGATTAAAAACACACATGTAAACACGTGCTAAAATCCACACACATACACATGGTCCTCATCTTCTCCCTTTGTCATCCTAAAGGTAATTGATAAGACGGTCTGTTTATAGTCATCTGACATATGTTTCTGAAGAATAAAAAAATCCCAAAATCTGACTCAAGGGACCAAAAAAGATCAAATGTAGACCTGGCTTATGGGACACAGCTATCAAAGGTCCCTCAGTATGGTCAAGCAATTATCTCTTAAAGCATCTCTTAAAGCCACCCCCATGGTTCTTTCAACATGCCCTTCATAACAGAGGTATATTGAGGATTTACTGCCTGCAGATGGCCGATGAGAGACAAGAGCAGCAACTCCAGCACTGTGCCTATGCACTCACTTTATAAAAGCCCAAATCAAGGGCTCGGTGGGAATACAATTGGGGAGGAAGCGAGGCCGTAAAGACACTATAAATCTGTTCAATGAAACTTCTAAGTTGTGCCCTTTGCCAGGTGCTGTGTGCATCTGGACCTCAGGGAGAAAATGGCACGCGCTGCAGTCCTTAGGATCAGGGACTGATTTGGACGTGCATGCTTTGGCCATCAAAAATGGCAGAGTCGCTGTCTGTCACTTAGTCATTCAGTCATCATCAGTGGATCAGTCCTTAGCCCGTCGTTTGGTCAGGTAATCAGTGGAATCAGTGCACAGCTGTATCCGATGTCATCATATTTGACATTTTATACAAATAAATATATATTTTTAGTGACTTTCAGATTCATCCAGATTTCAAACTCGTTCCATTGTAAAATTATTGAAATCATGGAAAAACAAAGTTATATACACACATCAAATTTCCAGCAGGAGAGATATCAGTTTGCTTGGATTTAAGAGAAAAACACAAATCACTTTCAGATAACAAAGTCATTTGCGTACCATATCAGAGGCTAAAGCCAAAAGAGGCCGTCCAGCTGCCAACATATTTTTGATGCCAAATAAGAAAAGCCAACACGACCATTCCTGAATTGCTTGTCAGTTTCAAATAAGAAGAACAATAAAACACGATTTCTGGTAAACTGAAATAAGAGTTCACTGTGAACTTTTTCTTTATTCAACCAGACCAACAAATACGTTGTCCGTGATAAGTTTAGTAACAATGCTTCTGTGATTTGCAGAACATATAAAATAACAACATGTCATCACTATGTTAATAAAAGTGTAATCTGGTTGGCATTATGTTTCCATCAAAACTACTTTGATGTAAACACAATTTCAAGGTGATAGGGTTGAAAAAAATTTATATATCATCTTATATGCTGTTATATCATAGCAGATAATCACGTTTACTGAAATGATGTTTGATGTATTCCCGGTTCTGTACTGGTGAACATCAAAAATGAAAGTGATGCTTATCTTTTGATAAACGACATTTCATTCTGAAGCTGTATTCTATGATCATATCATGGCAATCCCACTCCTTTAGATACTGTCTTCACTTGATTGCTGTGTCGGCAGTGGAAACCATGACCCGGCGTCACCTCTCCATTGTGTCAAAGGGTACGGCCCTGATCAGAGGAAGACTAAGGTAAGAAGAACAGGGTGCCAGGAAAAAGGGGCGTGACTGCATCTGTAAATAGTGGGGCTATTTTTGGGCTTACCGCGGTCATACAGGGGAGCACCGCCCAGGCCTGCCTTCTGTCACTATGGGGATGGGCGCTTCATAACTTTGCTGGATGGAAAAAGTCTGGAGGACTGGCAGGTGGTACACAGGAGTGTGGCACATCTCCCATGGCGAAGAGCTGTTTCACTCATAACTACCCACCACTAACAATACTCACCGGAAAACACACAGGCCTCTGCTTGTACTTGGCATATCAGCAGCCCGTTGCGTTTCATCCTGATAAAGAACAGCGTAGGTTTGTTTGCAGTGCAGTGTGAAACAAACCAGTAAGACAAAACTTAATACCAGCTAGTGATTGATTTATTAAGTGCCCTCTTTGTTGGCAATGGAAAAAGGTAAATGTGTAAGATGTAAAACCATTTGTACCTTCAACCACAATTGTAGGAATCACTATAAATTAATAATAATAAAAAATACCGACAGGCTTAAAAGTGACTGATAAATTATATTGAAAAATAATTGTCAGGTGGCACTATTTTGTTTTTGCACCATGCTCTTGTCAATGTCCAACTGTCTCCATTTCAGGTTTTATGAGGGATATAGGTACAGGTTGGAACAGTCTGAGGTTTATTAAGGTCAAGCTATATAACACAAGAAAATCGCAGAGCCAGGTTAGAGAAAAAGCCTTAAACTAAAGCAATGCCATATGGGCCATGCATGTAATAGTCCAAAAATTCTTTTAGCATGAACTGAGGGGGAAAGAGGACAAAAGAGAGAGAATGCATTATTTAATTCAATATTTTGTGGTACAAAATGTAATAGAATTAGCTGAGATTCAAAAGGCATTAAAAATGAATCTCCACAGTAAAAAAAAAAAGTAAGTCATAAAGGTGTCAAAAATCATTTTCAAATTTCCATTTGGAGAAACGTAAGTTTGTTTGGAGAAAAAACAAGAACATAAATCTTGCAGATAACCAGGAAATGGTTTGGACACCACCTCAATAGCAAGTGTAAAACCAAAACCAGTTACCTACAAATTTCTGGTGTCAAAATCCCAACAGTAAAAAAATCATTAATGTTGTTGTTTAACACCAAAATAATCGAGGACTTGTGATGTGTATGGTCACCATTATGCCATTTATTAATTAATTGTTGAGAACACATTTAAATGCACTTAAAACACATTTCATTTTTCATAAATATTTCATATTAAAGAGAAATATGTCCCACCTTGTGCCTACACAGAAAAGCGTTATAGACTTGCAATGATCTGATGATCAAGAAAGAGAGTAAGGCACAAAATAGAAACCTTATTCATACAGTTTAGTCATGCTATTATACTATATGTCCAAAAATGTATTAGGAAGCTATATGGAAAGCTACTGTCAGCTAAATGATCCCCAGCATCGGTATGGTGTGCATGCTCCAAAAGACAGGTAACATGGAAAAGACTGCAGCTGTGTGAAAGTTTATGACATGACACGCGGAAATCAATCTACAATATTTGGTCTGGAGGCAAGAAAACCTGCTCTGTGTCTACGGTAAAGTGCATAATGTTTTTCTGTTTTTGTTGTTGTTGTTTTTTTTTTTTTTTTGTATGGGGAACCATTCTACGCTAAAGTCTCTGACAGAAAGAGGAAAACTCGGACAATAACTTCACCAAAGGTAAAATCCTTTGGTTTAATCAGATCAATTATTGCCAGCTGTAAGTAACAGTCCTGCCAACTCCTCAGTTGAGTCACCCAGATGAAAAATAAAACTGAGCCTGTGGCATACTTAGATTATCCCTGTGCCTATTTACATGCAAACCTGCAGTGCAAGAAGTAACAGACAAATATATATAATATTGTCCTGGAGTATTCTCATTTAAATTCAGCAGGTAAGCATACCATTGTTCAACTATCTTATAGCTTGGGGGGATAAAAACTCTGCTACCTGCCTTTATAAGCCCCTGCAACCAGGAACTGTTGTCATAGGATATGTATTATATATTTCTCTGATTGTCTGTGCGTCATTATGTCGTGATCTGGGTGGAGGACTGGAAGATCGGGGCAGGATGATTAAAAATAGGCACTAAGGTGAAAAGCATAATGCAAGGTGTTAGAAATGGTACAAATCATATCAGGGGAAGACAAATGGAGAGAAAAAAATGGAAAACTAAATAGCAAAAGAGCACGATAAAAGCATAAGGCATACATACTTCCAAATACATGTTTATACAAAAGAATATCATACAATAACATTCAGTATAAATGAACAATGGGATATAAGGAAGCGAGAAAAAATACAATTCTACAATTCACATACTCCTTAGATACTTTTCTAGCCTTTTATTCTGTGTCCCTGTAAACAAATCATTGAAATGATACAAAAATGTCATATAAAAACTTCCACTTTGGGTTACCACGAACCATTTGCATTTGTGTGTCTGCTGCTGCTGTTGTTTGCTGTCAATATCACTGTTGTAAGGCACCGTTTCGGTTGTTGCGGACTGACTGCACAAACAAAATGAACCAAAGTGATGAAGCATGACACTCATTGTCCCGTTAGTTTTGTCCATGCATTAACATACAGATCACGCTCGGACTGAAGATTGTCATTTGTCAATGATAGAAGAGTAACTCAGTCTCATTGAGCTGTTTGGTCCCCTAAAGAACATCTGCTGTGAATTATTAAGGCAAGTGTAGTCGTATACTTTGCCCCTGATATCCCTTCCCTTTTTTTTTTTTTTTTTTGTAAATAAAACATTCATCTGTTTATTCAAAATGGAGCTTGCCAGTGATTGTCAATGTGAATCTGCAGCAAGTCTTTGACTGAGGAGGAGCTGATGGTGACGATTGTCCAGTGGGAGATCCTGGTCAAAAATGTATTCTTCATCATCTGGATCTCTGGGTTTTTTTTTTTTTTTTCTTGTCCTCTCTTTATGTTGATGATGCTGCTGTTTGAGTGTGTGTTGCTGCTGCTGCAGGAGACATCTGGACGTCTATGCATGAGTATGCACGGATATGCTGGAGAGGTCGTTCCTGATAATCTCGTTAACTGTGGAAACAAAAGAGAGGTGGCAGACTGTTATTAACCGCTCACAATGAATAATAATTAAAATCATTAAGACACTATTTCATATAACATAGAGAGAAGTTGCAGACGCAAGGCAGGTGATAGACAGGGTGTACTGAATCCCCGGCAAGATTCACAGTGGGTTAAATGTACTCCAGGGACCCAGGTGCTGTAGTGCATTATGGGAAGTGTCGGATTTTGGTGGCATGATGCCCGATAGGAATTAAAGGTAAGAAAATAATGGCCTCTGCTGTTTCAAATCACTGGAGTGGACCTCTAATAGATTTTTTTAAGAATATGCACCACACATGTAAAATAAATGACATGATAGAAGCCCTGCTGTGGACCCTGCTTTTTTGCCTAACCTGGACTGGGCTTCACTGTGTCTATATCTGGTTTTAAGGCCTTTATTGTTTCCCTTTTGTGCTAGTATTTTGCATATTTTATAAATGCATGTGTTAAAACAAATTACCATGTAGAAAATCTGGGGCCAGGTAGGGAAAATTTGTACTGCCACAGTGGGATAGAGTGCTATCAGGGGGATTAATAGGGGCCCTCCAACTCATTTCTGTCCCGGGCCCAGGGTAGGGGATTCTGGGGAGAGAAATGAGGCTAATTAAAAGGTGTGTGTCCAATGCCTCAGTCGTGTTTTGCAAGTTTTGTGTTAGTTTTAGTCAGTTAGTTGTGTTATTTTTTAAATTTGGCCTCGATCTGATGTGTGGCATTTATTTTTCTTAATCCAGAACACTCAAAACTTTAATCGAAGACAGTGTCGCAGCCTGCAATAAATAATGTCACATGTGGCAAAACTCCACTGAATACTTGGCATAGATATGGGCAAGTTGAAAAATACCGGGTATCAGTGGTCACAATCCAAACATATCAATGTCATTACCATGCTTTAAAACTCATATCGGCCCCATACACCCATCTGTGTTTTGAAGTCATGGTCTTGTCTTTCCTGCACTAGTTCCTGTGCCCGCGCCTTTCCCACAGTCAGGCAGACACAGATCAGTCTCCTGCCTTTATCTGCTCTGTGTTCTTTGGCAAAACAGAGGGAAGTGACTGTGAAGATGGTGAGGACCCTGAGCCCCGTGGCTTAGCGCAAACAAGAAGCTCCTCAGTTTTAGAGCAAGCCGCGATAAAGCGGACTGATTCAGACAGAGAGAGAGAGAGTCTGGTGAAACCTCCACACGCAGTGGAGCAGAGACAGGAAGTCCACCCACTCTGAGGTTCAAAGTGGGCACGCAGTTTGTTATCACTAGACACTGTTTGTTGAACGGTGAAGCACTGGCACTAATCAAGACGAAAACATCACATAGAGAAAACAAGGTTGTTTTTTAATACCCAAACATTTCAATGCTGTCATCTGTATGATGACATATTGACATATTTACAGTTTGGTGCTGATGAAATATGAACAAAGCATGTTTTTTTTTGCTTTTTCATGTACAACAATTGATGTCAGCTGAACTGATGTAAGGGAAATAATGTGTTGAAATAACACACCAGTGTGTAGCTACACTTATTGCCAAGGATGGAAACTAAAAATAAAGATGTAAATGAATAAACAGATTGTGTTTTTTAAAGAAGTAGGCCACACACCTATAATAACATGCCCTGCTTACTATATCTAGTCAAATACCCAACTACACATGCACACATACGCACACATACACACACACACACACACACACACACACACACACACACACACACACACACACACACACACACACACACACACACAAACAGGTTGGTTGGGACTCACCTCCTTCAACAGGAGGAACTCCCATTGGAAAAATCCAACCTGTGCCAACACTGCTGGCTGTTTTCGACTCTATTCTGCTCCAGGCTAAACAGGCATTTACACGCTGAGGTTATTTTTAGCTCTGCCATCCCAGGACATAAAGGAAGTGCAAGCACATGTAACAATTAAATGATCAAACTTTAATGTCGCAGCTCGTTTTTTTGTTAGCGGAGGTGAGAAAACAGCTCCAGGAGGGGAAGGGAAAACCCAACGAATGTACTCTTTATTGTTCTCAGAGGGAAAGCAGTGGCTTCCTTTCTTCTTTTCAGTCAAAAAAAAAAAAAAATAGTGACGTCTCCTCCACCCACAGGTTAACTTCTGTGTTATTTTGCATTATCAACTAATATTTTCCATCAGTACGTTCAATGATGTTCCATTCTTCAGAAACAGGCGATAAAGAGAAGAAAGGTGAGACACTGGCCCCTGTGTTTTTCATCTTTGGCAAAGTGAGAATCTCAGAACAGGATGTGGCCAACTGTTACACCACAAGGCAACACCAACAGCCTATTTATAGTTGTTTAATGGGGTAGCTCTTGTCACTATTTAGTTGCAACAACTTCTGGGAAATGAAGAAAATTTTTACAGAACAGTAGGTGAAACCTGAATGACGGATAACACACGCACACACGCACGCACGCGCGCACACACACACACACACACACACACACACAAACACACACACATACACACACACACACACACACACACACACACACACACACAGGTAATGACTTTGAGTATGCAGTATTTTTAATCGAATCAAAAATATATTTTTTTCACTGAAGTGATTTTTTTTTTAAAATTCTATTTTGACAAGGAGCATATTTTTCTTTTGAAGTCAAACTCTTCCACGTGACAGCTCTTTATTTTTGAGTCCGTCTCACCTTCCATGAAGTGACTAGATAACCACAAATATGCAGCACAAGGGAAGGCAGTCAGACATGCTGAGGAACATTTTGTTCAGAGTGGAATTTGGCTCTAAAAATTCAATTGCCTTGCATAATGCGGATGGGCAGGGGTATAAGTACAACATCTCCTCTGCAAACTGGGCCTTGTAAAGCTAGTTTAGAAAGCATGCCAGCTAGTTATTTTCCACATTCATGATCTCTATATGCCATTGTAAAAAAAAGAATGCTATGTTATGCTACACAATAATGATGCAAGTAATGGGTTTATGGTCAGATATGTACATAAATGAACTCTCAGCCTGGCATCATTCCCAACAGTATTGGAAACTTGTTTTCTTTTTTTTTCTTCTTTTTTTTCAGTTTCCCAGGTTAATAATGGAAAGCTATTACTGCTGTTACTGGGAGGGTACCCTCTCGTGAATAAACAAAAACAGCGGAAAGCTGAGCTCCAAATATTCCCCTGCTGAAAAAAAAAAAAAACAAAAAAAACAACACGTGCCTTGCTAGTCCGAGTTAAACAGAGTGACATCCTTTATTAGCTGTAGTGTCAGTGCAATCAGTAAACCACAGTCCGGACCTGTCAGGACTCATACTTAGGGCTGGGCGGCTGGGAGATCTATTTCAGGCGGGCAGGCAGGCAGGTGTGAGAGTGACACAAAAATATGACTGTGCTTTACTGTCGTGCCAAGTTCAATGCACAATTCAGCTCCTTTGTGAGGGCCTACCAGTGTTTTTTTGCAGTGGCTTACATGTAAACCTCCGTCTCCATTGGGTGTGACTGCTGGCTGAATGAATGTTGACCTCGCTAAAATAATCCGTCTGTATCAAGTGTGAAGGAAAATTATTTCTGCCTGTTAGAACGGGCGGTGAAGTGCTTCCAGTGCACGTGCTGCCCACTGTAGTGCATGCATGAACAATGCAGGTAACTGCAGCTTTTATAAAATAGGTACAATCGATTATCAGAACAATACAACGTAACACGTAAAGTTTGGCAACAGTGGGCTCGTTGTGTTACAGGTTGTCGAAAAACCGACCGTACCAGAAGGTCTGGACTAAGTGGGCGTTCAGAAACTTAGAAGTTTTCAAACCTCTTTTTTGGTAACTTGACGGCAGCGGAAACAAACTGTGAACACAACACTGACATACAGGAGGAATGTAAATCCAATATTCATCCGCTTTAGGCTCGGTTTTTTTGTCTCCACCAACCCAGCTCGGCTGTGACTTTCTAACTTTATCTGAAAAAAGCCAGAAAACTGCATCAAGCTGTTGTTTACAAACTATTGTAGCTGGTCTGTAATGCTTTATACAAAGGATAGACAGACCTCCAAATGTCCATTAGTCCAGCTGTCTCTTGGCTTATCAACAAACAGGAGACAAATAGCCCGATTATCAGACTCAGTTGCTTGTTAGTTTTCTCTTCATAATTCAGCCTGACATTGTGTTTATGTTAACCATTTGCAGAAGAGGGGTTATTTGCCCTAATTAATTATTACTGATTTGACAAATTGGTCCCATTGATGTCAATTTTTCATCTACACAAAAGCAATGATAGTGTATCTATACTGATTTGGGGTAGTGGGGGGTAGTTTTTTTATAAGTTCACTTCTTATCCATGTTGCCGCCATTTTTTCTGTCACCATTCATTTCTGGCATTGGTACAGGAAGATGATGAAAGAGGTTTTTCCAACTGAAAAATCTGTCAGTGAGCACATCACCAGCTGTGTGAGTTGCCGCAAAAAAATAAAAATAAATGGAAATGTGAGCAGCGTCTCACCATAAGATATGATAAGATACAAAAAGTCTGAGTTTTGTATATATAAAAAACATGCAAACTGAAAATAGAAGAAGTTATGGTGCTGCAAATGTGTCTCTTTTTTCTATTAAGTAATCCAAGCATTATGTTTTCATTGGGTTACTCTGAGAGTCCAGCGTAAACCTGACCTGCACTGGGGATTCAGTTAGTATTGTTAGAGGAGAGCGCTGTGCATTGGGGTTCGATAACAGCCGGGCTTCCTCAGAGAACAGAGGATGCCCTGTGGTCTGGTGAGATACAGAAACCTGGAGGCCTGAGAGCTGCTCGGAGGTTCCTGCTGTCGTAACACGATCCCCCTCCTTCCAAATCAGGACTGACTGGCAAAGACCTGGCAGAGAGTGACTTCACCTTCCCCTGGCTTCCCTCAGCTGACTATCCAAAACACGACCTCTGAACTGAAGGTTGTAACGGAGGCTTCCTGCCAGGGACTCCAGTTCTCACTCGGAGTCTC